AGTGAGTACTTTTTTCCCGGATATATATCACATATACCGGGTGACACAGGTTATCGGGCCACCCCTGTAACTTCTGCATTCGTCAACGGATTTTTCTGAAATTCGGTACAGTTATATAAGCAACTATTTCGGATTTGATCACATTACAATCCAATATGGCGGACTTCCGGTTTTTCTGGAAATGCCAGAAATTTTGTTTTTTCAAATGGAACACTCTGTATATTTTTACATATTCAAGTTCAACAGGTCAAAACAAGTGCAATCTCGATGTCAAATGTCATTCATTCCACAGCCTACTTAGTTGAAAGATTATTTTAACTGCAAGGAAATTGATAAACTAGTTGTTGATTTTTGAATGTATACAATTTGTTACTGCACCGAAAAACAAAAATGATATGTCATTTTGTTCCTTAATGTATGTTCTAGAGAGACGGGTAGGTGGCCCATGAGGGTTCCATTTGAAAAAAAATAAATTTTGATCAAAAAGTGATGTGGCTGAATTGATTCCTGGATAAGTGACACAAAAAATAATTTTTCAGAAAAAATTATGTTCTTCTGTTATGTGTGACTCATTGTGAATAGTCTTGACCACATCTCATTTATCCACGACGTGAAATGAAAAAACAATTTTAATTCAATTTTTTTCGAAAAAATGACATTTGAAATAAATATTGCACTTGTTTCGACCTGTTGAACTTGAATATGTAAAAATATACAGGGTGTTTCATTTGAAAAAACAAAGTTGCTGGCATTTCCAGAAATACCGGAAGTCCGCCATATTGGATTGTAATGTGATCAAATCTGAAATGATTGCTTATATAACTGTACCGAATTTCAGAAAAATCCGACGACGAAAGCAGAAGTTACAGGGGTGGCCCGATACCCTGTGTCACCCGGTATATACACTGTTGATGGCTTTTGTTGTGCTATAGTTCCGAAAAATGAGTCAATAATACCGTCTCCGAGAAAGAACTGCAAGTCCTTTTATCTTCCATTCGACTTTGCGGTTACGTATATTACTGAACAACCACTAAATTCGCAATTTTTTGATATCAAATCACAGAATTATAGCGTGTTTGGAATTTGAATAATCATTGATGTTTCATCGTAGTTTGTTACTATTATTACAATAATTTCCTAAATCATAGATACTTCGGATACAAGCGATGATGAAGAAATAATGATTGAGATACAGAAGTACTTCGTTACGAAACAGCGTTTACGGAAGATTCAAAATTACCTAAAAGTTGAAGAAAGCTATTCAGATGTGCAGGTATTAAACATATTTGATTGTTGATTCAGTAATGATGAAAAAACTAAGTTCGTGAACGACACTTCAATGCTACATCACTATTGTCGAAAGATTCAATTGAACATCATTGACAATGAACATTCATACTGATATGTTTCTGACTGATTTATGGCAGTGTTCACAGGGAAACCACAATAAGAGGTAGATGAATTCATTTCCTGTGGACCAACGGAAGCAAATATACTTTCAATAATTCAACTTTTTGATTGACAAAACAATTATCCTGACATTTCTGATGACAAGAAGGTCGCACCAACTCTCTATTTCTATTCCTCTGCTCTGTGCTAGAACCGCACTTTATGGAAGAACCGAGCCAGTGCCACTTGTCCTTGCTCTGTGCTAGTGTGCTCTGTAAATCGGCGAGTGGAAAACGCTATTAGACTGACAGAAGTGACATCAGATATTTGATTATTTCAAAAGATTGATAAATACGCCTACAACGCAGGTGTCCCTACTGTTAAAAACTTAAAATTGCACGTCGATAATTTTCAGATTTCAAAATAATGTAATATCTTCTCAATATCGATTCGTTCCTTCTTCTGTCACAGAAAAAATAGTGTATTATACACGGGAAAAATATTAGATTTTAGTTCACGGTTTTTTGTCTCCCTCCGCTACGCGTCGGGAGACAACACAACCTGGAGCTAAAATCTACTACTTTTTTCCCTTGTATAATAAATAACCATTATTAATGTCATCCTCGACCATAAAGCCTTCAAGTTAAACTACATAACATTATTGACAACAATTATTATCATGTTTATGAACTACTTCATCATATGATAGGTTGTTGGTCATCTACAAAATGAACTTTTTTTTTTTTTTAATAAAAAATTAAACGTAATTTGGAAATAATAAGCTCCCAGATTATAATGATGATGAGCTTGCAAATTGATGAACAGGAGACAGTAAAATTATTTTAAAAAAGCAGTCATTTATTGAAATGTTATATGTAGCATATTCACGATAGTTCACGATAGTAAATTATTGACCTACGAATTTTAGAGTAGTAGGTACCTTTCAAGGATTTTGAAATATTTAAGAAAATCTGGAAAGAAAGTTATTCTTCATCGCCCTCTCACCGCTCAAGGGTGCATTTTCATAGAGAGGTAAGTTGATTTCAATCGGCCTATTTTGGTCTCTAGTTCACCCTGTAAAATTTATGGTATATTGTTCTGGGACACCTTGTATACTGGGTGAGTCAGTTTTGACAGCAGTCTGAAAAACACATATATTCAAGATGAAAATCTGATGTGATCATATATGCTTGAGAGCCCTTTTTTGCTCCGATAATTTTCAAAATAATGAATTGAAATTTGGTACACCTATTATGTTTGGGAAGCTGGATATTTAGGGCTACTAGGAGTTTTTGATAATCTACAGGATGAAGCACTTTTCAAGGTTGTACCAATTTTAACCCTCTTGAACTTTTTTGTGTACTGCCTCAGTTTTCAATTAGACATCAATTTAGATTCTCTATTTTTCCAAAACTGTATGGATTTTGAGATGAATGCCAACAATAATTTACTTGTGATAAAACTTCAATTCTCGAACACACTCTATTTGACATTACTTAATAATTGACTAAATGACCTGGGTTGATCAAAAACTTTCTTAAGATGTGAAACTCATTGTTGAAACCTGAAATACACAAAAAATATGAAGATATCACACCGCCTGAATATCAGAGAAAGGGCTCATAAGCATATTTATGTTAACAGGAGATTTTCATCTTAAAATTGCATCTTCATCAATCTGTTGAAGTACTGCTTCAAAAAGCTGACTCACCCTGTATACATATAGACTATAGACAATCAATATTAAGTATGAAATCTTGTAAGGCTTGTCCTCCAGGACATGGTTTATCCATTTGGGAGCCACTAAGAAGAAAAATACTGTAAATTCTTATTCACTTTGATTTTATCACAAAAGAAAGGTTGAGATGACAGAAAAATAATGGCTTTATACACATTGACTTACATACCTCAGAAGGGTAGCAATAACGGTAATATAATCAAAAACTGCACTTCAAAAAATCAAAACTAATCAATTATTCACTTGATTATTTCATGAAAAATAGGTTGATAAGAGGGAAAAATTATGACTTTTTACTCAATCATTTTCATAACTAAGGAAGACAGCAATAAAATATGACCAACAAAGTCCCTGATAATTTCATAAAAAATAGGCTGATGAGAAAAGAAATTATGATTTTATACAAATTGCCTTAAATACCTTAGCAAAGCAGAAATATTATATTATTAAAAAACGTCAAACGACCAATCAGTTTTTCTCACAGAGAATAGGTTGAAATGAGAGAAAAAATAATGGCCTTATACTCATTGACTTACATACCTCAGCAATAGTAGAAGTATGAACGAAAAAATACTCAAAAAATTTATACTATTCAACATTCCACCTTGATTTTCTCAACAGAAAATAGGTTGAGATGAGAGGAAAATGATGGCTTTTTACTCACTGACTTACATATCCCAAGAGGGAACCAATAGCAGATATATAATGAAAAAAACCTCAAAACATCAAATCCAATCAATCTTCCACCTTGCTTTTCTCACAGGAAATAGCGGGAAATAGGTCTATGGCCTTATTTTATACAGACTGACTTACATAAAATACCTTAGTAGGCAATAGTGGAAATATAATCTCTTAATCAATTGAATAATGTAACTATTTACATTTCAAACCATTTAGCACCATTCCATTTTCATGCACCAAACCTAGAAAAATCTTCCTTAAGATGAGAACTAGAAGATTGGTTTACAATTTTTTCATTATTTAGAGATCATCAGCATAGAGTAATTCCATACTATGATGTATAAAGATAGAAAGTGAAGGAGATGAGAATGAGCACCTTGGGGATTTCCAGATTAAACTTTAATAAAGTTAGAAATATATTCAATAATTTTCCCTTTTTGCTAGGATACGTTTCCAGATATCATAAAATCTAAACTTCGCCTGATGCACATAACACCTATGCCTCATGTTACTATGTAATATTCTTTTGAGGAAATAAAGACGGATTATTATTATTATTATTATTATTATTATTATTATTATTATAAAATCTGCTATTTTTTATCATAAATTGATAAGTACATACCTACTACATACATACATAATATCTGAATTGACTATAAAATATCATGAGACTAACTGCATCAAAATTTTAGTTCTATTTAAAGACCTAAACTAATAACAAAGATTCCTGGAATTCCAGAGTTATTCAATCCCATCTACTACTGCAACAGTAGTTGTAGAAAAAATTGCAATTTCACTACACAATTGTGAATTTATTATACATAGTTTGTCTCTTCAGTTTGATAGTTAGTAAGCATTTATACCTACATTACATTGAAATAATTACTAGGATACTAGGGTCGGAAGCAAAGGAGTGTCATCGTTTACGTTGAATGAAGCATAACGGACAATTATTGCATCTGGTGATGGTGAAGAGAAAATTCTAGGAATTTCACAATTTAAAGCTAACCGTAAATATCAACGATCCTCAATATTATGTACAATCTGATAATATCGTGTGACCCCAGGTAATAGGTTATTTGTTTTCGACTAGCGATTTTTCATGAGCCATCAAAGATAATCAAATTAATACATAATAATTATGTAGTTGATACACCACAAATAACAAGGATATTGAAAAATCACTCACCTTTGAATAACTTTATGAACAAAATGAACCGGTAAGTCGGTTACAACTAGCGCATTCCCTATTCCCTCCCAAAATATTGTATTTGAAATAGTATATAGAAATGGAAATATTTAATAATCAGTCAACAACCTTTTGCATAAACTTCCAAATAAAATAATAAAACAACAAGAAACAAGACAAAAGACATGGGACAAGAGACAGTCGATGCACAAAGGTCACAGAACCACACAACCTCTATGAAGCAATTATACGACTTATCAGCCAGCCAGAATTTCCGACGTAGGCCGAAGAATCAGTGGCGCCCCGATTGATTTACATTATTCGGCTGGGGGTGGTTTTTCCAATTTTTTGCAGGGGTGCAGCGAGTTTTGAGGGTCTCATATATCACGAGTACGTCACCAAAACGCGTACTGATAACGTCCGGCCGAGACGTTCCGTACGTACCAATCATAGACAAACCAAAAATATTCTATTCATTTCTCTATGGTACGTACTGAGGACGTCCAGATTAGGAACGTAGCCGTACTAGGTACTTACTGGGGACGTCTAGATTCCGAGCATTTGTACATCCCCCGTACGTCCATTCAGGACCATGGATACCTGAATCAACGTAAATCCGCCTTTTTTTACTCAGATAGTTGAAAAAAGAGATCTAGACATAGTAGATTCCGAATTGAAAATGAAAAAAATGCACTTTTTCAGCGGATAGTTCTCGCGACCTTCAGATTACTGTTAATTTGTTGTTAATTTCTTTCGATTTGTTTACAATACAACACATAATTCACAGTCACATTTCAAAATTTGAGAATAACAGTGGTAAATAGAGTCCTCCGCGCAAAAGACAAAGGTGGCTGGTGTTGGCCAAGGAATGTGAGCGTATATGTGAAGTGTTCGTCGCGGAAGCCTATCTCCTAGGGCTGGGCCCTTTATATATATAGGTGATCTCGCGGAAGATACCCAAGAGGGTGAGGGAGTTGATAAGTCGAGTGGTTAGAGTTTGCGGGCAGATGCTCTACCTATATTACTCTATAGGAGACTTATTAATATGTCAGTATACAACAAGAAATTATGTGCGAATTTCGATTGACCCTTCACATCGATACTTTCATAGAATTAGATGATCACGGCAGAGATTTCCTGAACAGATATTTAGTGATTAGGTTCGGCCAGTAAAAAATGAACTGTGAGAATTGTACTCTTCATGCAATAGATATCAGAGATCGAAGGTAGAGAGATTATATGCAATGTTTTCAAATACATCATTATACAATGTATTCGATTCCGTCCACAAAAAGTCGATAACGAACGTCTATAGTAGGACGTACGACGTACTTAGTACAGAATCTTGAAAAGGTCCCGGACGTTCAGACCTAAATCGCACTTGATGGACGACGTCCCCAGGACGACGATCGAGTGCTATAGGTGCGTTCGGTTATAACATATCTGTTAGCTCGATTCCATCTGTTAGCTCAGAAAGCGTTCGATAAATCAGATCTACTTCCTCTGAGTAATCTGCTCCGTGTTCGTTAATTGTCAGAGCGAGCTGAAAGATGTAATCTGTTTGCTCCGCTTTGAGGAGCAGATCATTCAGATTTGATCGGTTATTCGAAAGAAAGCGTTCGATAAATCAGATCTACTTCCTCTGAGTAATCTGCTCCGTGTTCGTTAATTGTCAGAGCGAGCTGAAAGATGTAATCTGTTTGCTCCGCTTTGAGGAGCAGATCATTCAGATTTGATCGGTTATTCGGTTGTCAGTTGTCAACAAATCAATGTCAACAACATGTTATTGAAACTATATCTCTTATGTCGAAAAATTAAAGACTCGATCAACTGGAAACGAAACACGAAACTGAATTTTGTAGAATCCTCCTTGCCCAGAATCGCCAGAATGACCGACGAATTTGCTGTAGGTAGCATATTAATTATATATCTGTAATATATGCGATCACAACTGCCCTGGATCCACAGTTAATGACCGATCATATGAGACAGAATCATTCCAAACATTCAAAAGAACTTTGTTGCTCTGACGTGTTTTTAAAAGTAATAAGGTTAAGTGAATTGTTTCTGTTTTCTGTTACTTCTGACAGCTGGCGCTCGCAATCTACTACCTCGTTGAGCGTTCGTTAAATATATTTAGCTCTATCTGCTAGGTGATCACGTGACACCAAATCTGCATCTGCTCGCTCGGCTCCGATTTTGTTAAACCGAACGCACCTTATATGAGGGGGTTGGATATGTTCAAGGGGCCTTCTATATGTCGCCCCCTGCACTTGGCACCCCTCGTAGGTTCGAGAACTTTTGAAAGTATTAATTCCTGTCCGAACATATCTCTATTATCTCAAAAAGAATTCCTCTTCCATGACCTCTACAATCCGTTCATTGACTGAACTTCAAGCAGCCAGTCCTTCCTTGATTTGCTTGGACCAGCTACATGCACGAATTCAACCTGTGATATTTCTTTCACAGTATTTTCCTATAATAGTTCTGTGATGTACTGCCACTACTGTGGCAACAATGCAATGTATGCGCACAAGCGCCACCTATTTCCGTTAGATTAGAAAAGTAAGAATTGAGGAAAGGAACTCAGTCTCGCTACGCTCTCTCTACTAGTATGTATGTATGTAATGTCATAATGTAAAGTGTCTGACGGATATTCAATAAAATAGAAAGTGCTAGTAAAGTAATGGTTTTATTGCTAGTCTAGTACAGTACAAATGGCGACGAGGATAAAAATGAAGAATTAAACCAAAAGCGGGTCAAATCAAGTCAAGAAAGCCTTGTGAGAATATTAGTGCACGTGCTTATCAGACCTTGAAAAACAAGATGGCCTCCGCCGGTGTTCCAAAGTTTTACGAATTCCAAGCTGATGTTGATGATTGGACTATATACGCTGAGCGTATGGATCAACATTTTGCAGCAAATAAAATAATTGATGAAGCGATCAAAGTTGCTATACTTCTCAGCAGTATTGGACCTGAAACCTATAAGTTGCTTAGAGACTTATCATTTCCCACTCTACCAAAGGACAAATCATTTGAGGACCTTTGTAAGCTGCTGAAATCACAATATTCAACTGTATCCAGTGTTTGGAAGGAACGAAAAATTTTTTATGGACTATCCCAAAATGACCTTTCAGTAGTGGACTGGTATGCAAAATTACGAAGCAGTGCCACGAGGTGTGAATTTGGAAACGACCTGATCAAAATTCTGAAGGACAAATTTGTGACTGGACTCTCGATGAACAAAATTTTCGACCGTCTATGCGAAGAGGATTGTACGAAATCGCTGGAGGAGTTGATCAGTTTGGCTCAAAAAGTCGAGAATCACGGAAATTATGCTTCAGTCAGGTATGTTTCAAATCACGCGCCTCAAAAACGTGATGGGCGTGGTTTCCGGCAACAGCAGCGCAGATGGCAACCACAAGAAACTGAACTGAAGTATGACAAGCATGACAGAAGACCAGGGTCAATGGACAGAAGAGGAAATGATAGAAATGTCGGTAATGTAGATCGCGGAACATCAAATGTCAGATTTCAAAATATGACAAATTTGACAAATAGTTGTCAATATAATAAAAATAAATGCAAAATATGTACAAAAATTCACAAGGGAGAATGTGTATTTAAAAATTCAAGATGTTTCAAATGTAAACAAGTTGGACATGTTACTAAAGCTTGTAAAATGTTAAATAGAAGGGTAAATTTTCTGAATGATACTGATGAATCTGAAAATAGTGACTGCAATGATGATTTAAACAATGATGACATTGAACATGAAAATTATACCTTATTCAATATCACTAGGAAGAACAAAGATGATTATTGTTCAAATATTCTCATTCCTATCAAAATTAATAACATTGAATATCAATTTTTACTGGACAGTGGTTCAGCAATATCAGCAGTAAGTTATGATAGTTATGCTAAAGAATTTTCAAATTTCAGAGTTGAAGGAGACAGCACACTGTTGAAGGGATACAATGGTGAAACTTTCATGCCAGAAGGCTATTTTCAACCAGAAGTCATATACAATGGTCAGAGCCAAAAGATGAGATTATACATCGTCCAAGGTGGTGGGCCAAACCTGCTTGGTCGAGATTGGTTGAAGGTATTTAAAGTTCAAATCAATTTGGTTAACAATATATCAGTCAGCAATGAAATCAAAAGAGTTATAGATGAAAATTCAGAGCTATTCACTGAAAAGATAGGAAAATACAAACATTGTAAGATATCATTAGATCTCATAGAAAATTCAAAACCAGTTTTCTGTAAACATCGTCCTGTTCCCTTGGCGTATCGAGATAATGTAGAAAATGAGTTACAAAAATTAGAAAATGAAGGAGTTATTGAACCAGTAGAGCATAGCGAGTGGGCCACACCTTTAGTGCCAGTTTTGAAACAAAACGGAGAGTTAAGGTTATGTGGAGATTATCGCAGCACTCTAAACAGGTATTTGGTTGACTTAACATATCCACTGCCCCGAATAGAGGAAGTTTTATCCAAACTAAGTAACGGAAAATTCTTTTCAAAAATTGACATTCGTTCAGCTTATGAACAAATTGAGGTGACAAATGAATCATCAATGATTCTTTGTTGGAATACCCATAAGGGGTTATTCAGAATAAAACGACTTCCATTTGGAATTAAAACAGCAACTGCAATTTTTCAAAAAATAATGGATCAGCTACTACAAGGACTTGATGGCGTAGCTTGCTTTCTGGACGACATTGTAATCACGGGAGCAACTGCCTCAGATCACATCAAAAATTTAGAAAATGTGTTTAGGAAACTTAAAGATTCAGGATTCACTTTAAAATCTGAAAAATGTTCATTTTTTCAATCTGAGATAACTTACTTAGGTCACAAATTGAGTAAAGAGGGAATTAGAAAAACTGAAGATAAAGTTTCAGCTATTGTAAATGCACCTATACCAGAAACAATAACAGCAGTTAGGAGTTTTGTAGGAATGGTAAATTATTACTCAAAGTTTGTTCCCAGATTATCGACGATCTTGCATCCAATTTACAATTTGCTTAAAAATGAAACTAAGTTTAGTTGGTCTGAAAATTGCAACAAAGCATTCAATGAAATCAAAAGAATTATAAGTTCAGACAAAGTATTAGTTCATTTCGATCCTAGTTTACCCATAGTT